CTCCTTCCCTGGAAATATTCAGAACCCGTCTGGATGTGATCCTGGGCAATATGCTCTAGAGGACCATGCTTGAGCAGGGAGGTTGGACTAGATGATCTCCAGAGGTCCCTTCCAACCTCAACCATTCTGTGATTCTGTGAGTTTCACATGATGAAATGTGAAACATCTTTGCAGTTTTTTGGGGCAAGCAGTACTACAGCTGCACCACACTTTGAGAAAGACTTTCCAAGGTGATAGCATGGAAGGTAGAAATCCATCACTAGTGCACATGCATTGATGAAAAAATAATTTGCTTTTTGGTTTACTTAAAAGCCACTACAGATCACTAAGGGAACTACAGAGCTGGTGGAACTTGAAGATGCTGGCTGTCTCCTGCAGTACTGGTTACTGCAGCCAGCTCCTGTTTCCGTCTCATTATGAGGGAAATTAAAAGCCTGGTTTTCTGGAAACTTTTCTTGCATTGGTGCTCTCCGAGGAAAAAGTGCTTTATCCTCAGAGAGAAGGTAGAAATGACAGTCCATACACAGGTCAAGGTGTAAGCACTACCGCAACATATCACATGACTGTGACATTGGATAGTTCTTTTACAGGTTGGCTCTCTCTACGAAGTGTAGACAGTCCCATCTGTTGCATACACTCCCTATCTTTGCAAGAGGATTATTAGAAGCTCTGCAAAGAAAAAACACCTTGAGGTGAGATTTGAATGAGTAAATGGTGGTGATTTGGAGCAGAGGATGGAGGGATTGTTTTCAGTCAAGACTAAAAGATTAAAGAAAGCATGAAAAAGGAGGCTATGAAGTTCCTGAAATACAGCTGAGTTGAAAAGGGGAGCGATTTAGGAACATATCCCGTGCATTTGCTAGCAAAGTGTACGGTAAGACACTTTCACATCAGATACCACTCTAAGGTTTGCCTTCACATCCTATGGTATTATGTGGCTGATCTGAATTAGAGCACCAGACTTGATACCAGTCTCTCACATGGATAGACACCCAATCAGTTCTAGCAGTACTGGGTAAAATATTCAAAATGAGGCACTGAAATCTCCATGCAGCAGTCAGCAACACTCATACATACAAACATATAGCTATATATTTGTATGTGTGTATGTTTATCGTCAATATTCAAACGGTACTTTTGAAACCCACACCAAAAGAGGTATATTCCTTGAATATGTATCACAGATGTAAGTCATTACTTTAAAAGAAAAAAAAATGGTACCAAATGCACAAGTAAAGATGGTATAAACCTTTATGGTTACTTTAATGCATCAAGGGAGAAAGGCAGTAATAAATTCTCTTCTTCTGTAGGTTGCTTATTACTGTTTGCATCAAAGCAAACTACTATTTAAATGCTAATAATTGCATTCTCTGCTAGGGAAGATTGTCTTGAAGGAACACAACAATAATCCCAAGGGACATTCAGCAACTTATATTAGATCTGGACTGACAACAAATTACCACCGACGCTTTGAAAAGAATGACCAAAGCATTTAAGGATGAATCTACTGAATTCAATAAACAATTTCCAGGTGATTTCATTAGATAATGAGAACTTCTTATGCACTGAATTATCAGAAGGTCCCATAAAAAAGACAAATAGTGACAAGTACTAACAAAACAATACACTAGCAGCATTTATTTCCAATTCTAAAACCAGATACAGGATTCTGACTGCTTAGAAGACACTGCATTGTATTACCTTATGGAGTTTGACCTTTATTTTATAGAGTACATATCACAGGCAAATATTTTTCTGATTTCAAACGCTTTGGATGACTTCCTTTACTGTACATTGCTAGTTCACTGAATCATTTGTAACTTGTACTTCTCTAAACTCCCCAACAACTTTTTGAATTGCAGTCTTCTACCTGCTTCATTAAATCACCTGGCTAAATGCTGAGTCTGAGCTGGTTCCTTCCTAGGCCCCATAAGAGGCACCAACAATCAGTGCACTAATGCTGCATCGGGGAAACCACAGATCCAGTGAGCTGCTAACACTTTTAGCATCCACTTTATCTAAGAACGCAAGAACAGGTTAAAACAAAGGTCTATCTAGCCCTGTAAGATGCCTCTAACAAGGAAAAATAGTAGATAACTAAGGAAGAATTTAGGAGCTGTGTAAGCGTGCAGTGAAACTTCAGTATTACTTCTGCAGTTTCTGGGAAGTTTTTAGTTCAAGAACTTCCTGCTCTAGAGATCACTGACTTTATGTTTAATAGCCCCATATAGATTTTTCTTTCATGAACGTGTCCAATTTCTTTTTGAGCACACGTAAGCCTTGAGCAACCCTGACATCCCACGGGAACGAGCTCCACACCTAAATCACACGTGTGAGAAGGACATTCTTTGCTGGCTGTAACCTGCTGTCAGCCAGTTCCATTTGCTAACCCCTAGTGAGCGTTCGTTCTCTCTTCCTCCTCCCCCAGACACTCAAGATATTGTAAATTTTTGTCATGTCTCCCATCAGTTACCTGTTTTCCAGCATCCTCATTTATTTAAGAATTACTATATAGAAGCCATTCCATATTTTATCACCATCCTTTCTAAGGAAACATATCTATTAGCAACAAAATTCTCATCAAACTCATTAATTGTTGAATATACATAAGTACAAGTTTGTGCTTAACAGTACTACATACAATATTCAATATAACAACAAATATTTATTTAATCTAATAACTTTCCAGTTGATTTAATTTCCCCACCTACTTCTGCAATCAGCTTAAAAGCAGAATACATAGCAGAAGACCTCTTCAGTTTGTTCGTTTTGGGGATAAAATCTTCCTAAATCCATAAAGCCTTTTATTTTTGCAGTAAAGAGGAAGGACAACTTCTCTACATCTTTCAGCAACTGCTACAAAAATAGTAAGCAGAATTATAACATTTTGCCACAGATCTGCCACTATATTAAAAGGGATAGCTGCTCTTGCCAACAGCAGGTATGGCAGGGGAGGAGAGAACTCCTAGG